GTACACCTTACCAAGCCAGACGATTTCTGGCAATTCCCGCAATTTTCTGTCACGTATCCCCCCCTGCTTTGTGGACTTGGACTTACCTTGCACATGCTCCCTTCGTTCAAGGGGCACTCACCGTTTAGCTTGGCATCGAACTCTGCGCAGTTCACCGCAGGATCGTCTGCAACGTGCGGAACACACACCAATCAGCACCATCGTTAGCCTGCACTACGCGCTCAAAGGGATGGAGAACACCGACTGACGATGGCGATATGCAACCCCATCGTCGCCAGAGCAGCACGAATGCACATAATCGCGTGCGAAAGGAAACCTCAACAAAGACTCACATTGCGCGTGCACCCAAGCCGGGACCAAGCACGCCAGAACCAGCACTAAGACGCCGGCCACTTTCATCGTGCCAGAACTCGTTGTCGTCCCGAAACGTCCACCCAGGAGTCGGACGCACAAGGTGGGACTTGGATTAGCAGGATGCACTCTCTGATCCGGTGCTGTCCGTCACCTCTCCACAACGACCCCGCCTGGTGCGCATGCAGAAGACCAGCTCGGATGGTTCAGAGTCCGGACGCGCTGCTGGATTTATATGCCGTCCAGGCCCACCACCCCATGACTACCCCCAACTCCAATTCCGGCCTCACTGGTGCCTGCGACGGCGTGCTCCATTTCCAATGCGTGCAAGTGTTTCAGGCCACGTTGCCAACGCAGCATTCGGTCTGGTCCGAATAATTATGAAGAGTCTCATTCAACAGTGAGGTCAGATCTTTTTGGCGGCATCTGTAGCGAACATTGTTCCGGGTGCCTTTCCATGTTCCCAGCTGCACTGCCAGTGGGCCCGTTTGCGAGGTATTGCTTTGGTGCGGCCCGAGGTTCAATCTTAGCGCAACATCTTGGTGTTTCAGCAAGGTCCAGACGAATGTTGAGTCATGAGTCGATCTACATCGTATCGGGGGGGCCTCACTCCGCTGGTTCGGGTTAGCGGAAATCGTCGGTACACGGAACATGGGGATTTCACTGCCTTGTTTGTGCGAGCGAAAGACAGCCGATGTAGCTCTCTGTCCGTCCATGTGCTGCATGCCGTGTGCGCCTACATTAGTCGTCTTGAACGTTCAGGGATGCTCTCGCCGAGTCTGGATACCTCCCACTTCACTGGCGACAGTAGCCGCGTGGTAACGTCCTCCTCCTCCTCCTCCTTCTTCTTCTTCTTCTCCTCCTTTTTTATTGGTGGTTTTTTACACAAATAGAGTGGATCTGTATTGCAGAGGGAAACAGACAATGCACGTGCTTCACCTTGTTACGGATGAGAGGTGATGGTGGTTTCACGTACTAATCATGGACGTGTGTGACTAACCACATACTAACCTTGTGCTGTTGAGTTAGGGACTGATGCAAATCAAAATGAGTTGGCTGGCAAGATTAGGAGGCGACCACCCAAGAGTTGACCTCTCCAGCACACACATTAGATTTGGGAGCCACGGAATATTGAGCTTGTTTAAAAGAAATTGATGACAAATTTTGAAGGTCACAAATATCTGTCAATGGACAATAATTGCTGAACTCTGTGAAAGTGAAACTTAAAACATGAAGAAGATTAACTAACTCCCCGGTGATTTAGAGTGGATGAAAATGTGACGGCTACCAATACCACACCTACACTACTAGCACCCTAGTAAAACCTCATGGCTACTACTTGTGCACAAGCCAAACCAATGGTGCTAAATCCAAGTCTCATTCAAGTACAAGGACCAACTCAACAAAATTCACACAAAGAATATTATAGGCATCATCAATACATAATTTACAAATGATCCATTTAAGGTGAAAAGAACCAAAATATCTTATTTAAGAATTTGTAATTGTTACTTAATGAAGGCACTAAAGCTATCAAATTGGTACAACTAGATACTATTTGTGTTGTTGACAAGACAACTTATTTGAACAAGTAAATACACCACTGATTCAACCCAATGAAGCCGAGCCAATCAATTGAGTTGATTGAAGAGGCTAAGTTGGACTCAATACTTAACAAGATGGATATTGGTCCTAGATGTTAGAAACTTAAAATATACAATCAAATTTGATATTATTTAGAAAAAGACCTTATATCATCAAAGAAGTATTTGATAACATGTAATACCAATTTAAGATATTAGACATAGAAGATTATTTTTGTCAAACTTATAAAAGTTGTTGTAAAGAATATAAAGTATAATCATTAGATATAATTTCAATGCATTTAGAATACTTTATAATCAGCTCTAAGCTAATTTTATATAGGTTTTATATTTTTTAGTATATTTTGAGAAAATAATTTTAAACTATAAGCAAGAAATAACATTTAATAGTTATAAGCCTTATTTAATTTTTTAAATATTGTTTAAGATTTAAAAGGTTTTACAAGTGATGAGAGCATTGTCAAGTAAAAAGAAATAATACTAGAGTTTTTGTGAGTCTTAGACAAAATTATCCTAGTAGGATTAGGATCTTATTCAATATGAATTAGTCCAAGTTGATACAATAATGCTTGAGAATTATATAAGTATTCTTCTCATTGCGGTCAAGCTTTAGTAGACCATAGCAATTGAACTAATAGAGGTGGATTCGAATATGGGGAAAGACTGGTTATATGAATTGGGTTTGTCAGTGTCACAATTGACTATATTCTGACTATTTGAAATCAAGTATCAAACTATAAAACATTGAAGCTTACTACTTCCATCTTAATTCAACCCATAATCCATTCTATGATTATCAATTCAACAATACTTCTCTCAATCACCATTCTTCATAAGCAAATAATAAAGAAAACAAAGAGGTAGCACCAAGCTTACCCCCGCTTATGATTCTCAATTTGACTCTTGGCTTATGACTCTCAGTTTGACTCTTGGCTTACGATCCTAAGTCTAGCTCTCGATCTTTCTTTCCTCAACTTATTTCTCCTACCAAAAAGATGATCCGATGGCCAGCGGATTCCAAAGGTTATGAACCTTTGAATTCTTAACAATTTATTCTATCAACAACCTATTGTTATCAATTAAACTGCCTAACTATTAATCTAATTTTCGAGGTTAGTAATAACCAACCAATAAGTTAGCAGAAAATTTATTTATCTATTCTACATAGCCCCACTCCTAATTATGTAGTATCCTTACAAACATTATTTAGCCTCTACTTTTAAAGATGTAGTAGTGTTGGCTTCTTCAATCAATGGTTTTGGCTTACCACCCTTTGAATTGGTGACCTTCTCCTCTACTTCATCTTCGTCATCTGCCGTGGTGTTCGATGGTTCTCCATCCAAACGTGCCTTCAAATCTTCATTCAACAAAACCAATTCTCGTACTTACAACTCACCTCGGCCAATTTGGTTGTCACGCTCCTCCAACATCTTCTGCCATTCTTCTGTCGGTTTCAAAGGTAGTCCAAAGATGTTGTCGTTGAAATTGGTGTATTGGTCCGTACTAAATTATTGGCCTCCTTCGCTAATGCAGCTAGTTTAGTCTGCTACATCGCAACCTCTACTTGTAGCCGTTCTTGCCGTTCATTCCAATCGGTCGCCATCCTTACTGTCTCAGATATCATGTTCGTCATCTTCTTCTTAACCACAAAAGAAAACATGTTGCTTGTCAAGAGCCCCCGTCCTACTTCTTATTATAGTCCAATTAATTGGATCAACTCCTCTTTTTGTAAGAAAAAATCTATCTCGAGTTTATGTATAATAAAGTTTAAGCTGATTACCATTGGTCTGTGTTGTAAATTAAGTACCCATAAAATCTTCCAATTGTACTGAACCAGTTGGAAATCTGTCAATAATTCGATATGGCCCATGCCATCGAACTTGAAATTTTTAAAATTTTTTTTAAATCGACTATCGTAAAGAAGTATCAAATCATTTGGCATAAAAGCCTTTGGTCTAAGCTTACTATCACAATAAGTCTTCCTTCGTTTTTGGGTAGTTTCTATTATCATTAATGCATTGGCTCTAATTTCATCCAATTTTTCTAATTTTTCTTAATGGTTCCATAATGAATCCTGATCTTCCAATCTATTATCTATAGCAATTCATAAACTTTGGATTTCCAATTCAATAGGTAATATAACTGCTTGGCCAGAAACCAATTGGAAAGGAGTATCATTGGTAGTAACTTTATACATAGTACAGTATGCCCATAAAGCTGCGAACAACTTAGTATTCCAATCTGTTCCCGCTCTTGAAACTTTTTTTGTTAACATTTTACATAAAATTCCATTAGTCTTTTCTATTTGTCCATTGGTTCTAGGATGATATGGTGTAGTTTTTCAATGTTTTATCTTGTATTTAGCCATGAGTGCTTTGATTGTTCTATTGATAAAATGAGTTTCCTGATCACTAACCAATTCTCATGGACAATCGAACCATGTAATAATATTTTCATACAAAAAGGTTGCTACTATACTTGCACTATTGGTTTTTGTAGCTACTGCCTCAGCCCATTTTGTTGCGTAATCCATTGCTATCAATATATACTATTTTTGTTCATTTCTCGAGGCTGGTGCAATTAGTCCTACAAAATCAATTCCCCATTTTTTAAAAGGCGTTTGAACCAAAATTGGTATCAATGGCATTGGTAAAGTTCCAATAGGTTGACATGTTCTCTGACATGGGTCACAATGACAGACAAATTGGTGGGCATCTGCAAACAGTGTTGGCCACCACTAACCAGCTTGTAAAGCTTTACGAGTCGTATTGTCTTCTACAAAATAACCACCATAATTGTCGAAGTGGCAACCTTCCAATATAATACGCACTTCAGTCTGATAAATACAGCATCGCAAAACTCCATCCTTGCCTTGTTTATATAAAGCTTGACCAATCATTGTATAAAGTGCACATTTTAATATTTAGCATTGTTTAAGCTTTTCATTGAAATTGGGTGGAAAGGTTTGAAATGTCAAGTATTGAATTATTACACTATACTCCAAAGTAATTACATCCATCACAAACAATTTTGCATCGGATAGTGAATCGTTAATGGGTTCATTACCCAATATATTGGATAACCGAGATAAATGGTCTGCATTAGAATGTGATTTTTTTGGTCTTACCCGAATAATAAAGTCAAATTCCTGCAAGAGTAGCAATAACATGGTCACCCCTCCCATCGCGAAACCGCATTGGACGCTGGACGGGAAACCACCCCTACCGTACACGCACCACCAAACCTTGCATCTGGACAACTAGCTCAGGGGCCGCGCATTGGCTTCTCAAGTTGGAGAACGACGAGGAGGCCCAGTGCGTGGAAACTTACGGTTGTAACACACTTGGACCTCGCAAATTGCGGGTCCGGGTCTTCCTTGCACTGTGGGTGTCGTGAGCCGGAGCGGATTCGAGCAGGGCGCCCGTGACTGAGTTCGGCACTCTTTGTTCTCTTCGTACCTCACGGCCGCCTGGTTCACCCTCGTAATCAACCTTGGGTTGTACGAGATTTCGACCTGATCGGTCCCCGTGAACTGGAACGTGATGCCGATGGTCGAGCAAGTGACCGTGTTACCCGTCTTGGTGCAACTTCCGCAGCCAGGGTAGGTGTACTGGTTTTGTTTGCTAATTACCACTCTGCACGTGGAGCCTCGTCCCTCGGGGCAATAGGAGGCACTCCTGGGGTTGAACGTACTGCATTGGACTGCTGGATTGGCTGCAACACCCGGGACGCACACAACATTCCATAACACCGTCAGCGAACACTACATGTACAAACGATTCCTAAAACGGCGACGAAATTCGGTGACATGCAGCCCCACAAGCACTCGTGACTTCAAGCAGAAAGAGACGTCGACAGAGACTCACATTCCGCGCGCACCGCCAGGAACGCCAGGAACGCCAGGATCAGCACTGCGACGCCGGCGAGATTCATGGTGCCCGAAGCCGTGGTCGTCGTGAACGTCCTGCCCACCTTTCACCACCGAGGAGTCCGATCCACGAGCTGAGAATTAGGCTGCAGGTCGATGTGCTTGCCGGCTGGACTCGCCGGTCGGGGACTGTGCGTCCGCTCTCCGCAACCACCCCTCCTGCACCACCCCACCGATGCGGAAGCTGAGCTCGAATGGTGAAGGGCTCCGACGTGCTGGTCGATTTATGTGTCATCCCCATCTCCCATCCCACTGGTACCGCCTGGTTCGTTATTGACTTTCCACGCAGCCTGAGACAACGTGTGCCAGTTGCAAGGCGGGCAACTGTTTCGGAGCAAGTATCCAAGAAGGCAATCCTGCGGGTCCATGCTATTGAGGGAGCCCCTGTGATGGAGTTGCACAGTCGCCGAGTGCTGGCTTCGGCAGCACTGTTGAAGAAGCGATTTTATGGGGTGCATCTGGTTTATCGGCGCAAGTGGAAAGTTGTACACAGGTTGGAGAATATATGTTGATATTTTCACTGCTCGCTTGTCGGTAGCATTTCATTGTCTTGGAACATTATTCTGCCGTAAATTTTGGGTTTTTTTGAACCGGATGTGGAAGTCGCGTCATGGAGCATTTTTTTACCGACTGTGGAGAATAGTGCAACGCTTTGGGGACTGGGCGGTTGTTGTTAACATGGTTGAGTTGAACATGCCCGGTTGTGTAACATTTCCGGGAGCTGTCTTTGATGCCTTAGATGTACATAGACTATGCGTTTGAATGTGTTGATAATATATGTTGGATTTTTGTCTTTTATATTTTCATGTTTTCATAAAAAACATGAAAACTTCGATTACTAATCAGTAAAATACAAGATTGCTCTTCACAATCATAAACCATGTCAAAGAAATTAGAAAATAATAAACCATGTCAAAAGAAATTAGAAATTAATGAACTTTTGTTATACAACTCACTACACAGCACTCTACACACAAATATTGGGTGTAATCCATCACTTTATTTCAAAGTTTCCAATTAGAACTAGAGGAGAAATTATTTTTTTAAGTATTAATTCACTATTTACTATACTCCCATTAAAATGATAACTTTTTTATGTAGGTTACAAGTAGTAGTAATACTCCCACTTGAATGGAGAAGTACAATTTTAGGCAAGATGTATGGTTAGAAGGGCATGCATTTCCTTGAACTTTTTTGGACTTAATGCTTTTGTAAAAATATTTGCAAAGGTGTCGTTTGTTTGTAGAACTCCATTTTTGATTTGTTTGCTGATCATATGGTATTTGATATGCACACATTTAGTTTGAGACTGGAATTTGGAATTAAAGATAAGTCTCATAGCACTTTGAAAATCAAAGTGTAGTATTGTAGTTTTTTCTCGAAAAAACTTGAGACCAGTAAGCAAGCTTTCTCACTAAAAGATTTTTTTTGTAGCCATGTAATAAGCAATATATTTTGAATATGTGGTACTATCAATGAGACAAGCTTGCTTCTTAGAACCTTGGCATATAGACCTACCATTTAAAAATAAAATATGTTTATTTTGAGACTTTTGATAATGTAGATCTTTTGTATAGTCAACATTAGTATATGCAATAAGAGGGATCAAAAAAGTAGTGCCACTATAAACAAGTTTGAAATCCACAATGGTGCATAAGTAATAAAAATTTCTTTTAATTGCATTGTAATGAGAATGGATAAATTTGGACTTTACAAATTAAAATTAATTGATGCTAGTTGGAAATCTAATCCAATTAAAAATGATTTGAATTGTCTAAGTTTTCTAACAAAAATCCTATTAGCAATGATTTATGTCTAGTACTACCAATAATCCTTCAATTGTGAGTTAGATAAAATCTTCTAGTAGGAAGTTTTCTCTAGCTCCCAACAACTACTTATTTATGAATTAATTATCTAAAAAATCCTTTTATTTTTTATTTTAAAATCATTAAGCTTCCTAATTGATTAAATGGCACATTCTCACATTTAAAATACCACAATACAATCACTTAATTAATTTAAAAGACCACATATTTGAAAAGAATTTTTATATGATTTTTATTTTATTTTTTGTGGTATTAATCATCATCCTAATTTTAACTTTCATCTAAGAATAATTTTTCATCTACAAATATTTTTTCATCCAAAAATAAATTTTCATGTATAAATGAGAATTCAACTATTAAAAAAAAAATTTCATTCATCAAAATTCATCCAATTTGATCAAATTTCATCTACTTAAAATAAATTTCCATTCACCAAAATTTATCCAATTTGACCTTATCCGATCATTACATTGTTTCATCCAATGGAATTCAATTTCATCATCAAATTCTATCTAAATGATTTATCCATAATAGCAAATAAATAGACTTACAATATTGTGTGAATAAGAACCAAAGGTGGTTGGTACTTTTAAATCTATTGTTGCATCTATCTTCACAATTTTATGTACCACGATTGGCTTAGCATTCAATCCAATTAGTTTTATTAAAAATAAGACTTAAAGATGCATCTATTTTCTCATTTTAGCCATCAAAATTGATTGTGTGACTCTAATATTGTCTTTCAAAGTTGATGCTTCAATTTGGCAAGATATTAGACTCTCTTCTACAAAAATGAGAGCCATAGCTTGGTCCTTCATTGTCCTTTAGTAAATCTAAGCTTTTAAGAATCATTACTTGAATTAGTACCTTTTTCCAAAATTTTGGCTATTGAGCTACCTCAATCCTCTTAACTCTATTTCTAAAGTTGTGCCTTCATTTGGTCACTTGAATTTGGAGGTAGCTGATTCTTTGCTATGGAAATCAATACTCTTACTATGCTTTTGCTCCAATATCATCAATTATTAGTTTTTTTAAAATTAAATTTCATTGATTTTCTAGCAAATCAACTCTTGATACTATATAGCCTATGAACAATGAAAAAAAGCCTTCTAAAATAGAGCTACCAAATTATGAAGGCAAAATACCACTCTTTACAAAATTAGAGGTTTTTTTTATACAAATTCTAAATTCTGAGATTTTTATATATAAAATATTACAACAAAAAGTATTATATCTATTTAAAATTTTAAAATTGACTTTAAAAAAAAAAAGAAAAAAAAGCTAGAACAACAAAGCTATTTATAATATTTAAGAAAAATTTGGCATAGTTTTGCCTATCAATCAAAATAATAATAATAAATAATAATAAAAATAAAAAACAAAACAAAGAGGGCTTTGGTACCCAACCCTTATATATAAGTATTTAAAGTCCTAAGAATGGCATCTACATCTCTACCATTGAAATGCCATGAACCTAATGAAGATCTACAGTTCACAAGGCCTCCTAAACCTTAATCCGATTTTAGAGTTGGAAGCCTTTGTAACTATCCAACAAATATATTTTTTGATAAAACTAATACTACCATTATATTCAAAATATATTTTTATTCTAAGATTGCTTCCTAATTTGTCCAAATCTATGTCAAAATCTAATAATTATATAATTTTTGAAAATCATGATATAAAACTTATTGACTATTTAAGTAGCAAAAGTTAGTCACTAAATGATATTATGATTTTATCAAAGAAATTGTGGAAGTTCTGCCACCAAATTAAACTTGATATTTTCTAAAGGATTATGGACTTTGAAAATTTATAATTTTATCAATCTTTAGAGATTCCAATAATTCTAAGAAGTTAAGAGAATGCTAAAAGTTAGTGTTTTCTTTTGAAAAAATAAGCTTGAATCTATCAAATAGAAGAAAGAAGAAGAAAGAAGAAGAAAGAAAGAAGAAGAAAAAGAATTAATAGAAATAAATAAAATAACTAAGAATTAAAAATTAGTACCAATGTAATCATTCTTCTATGAGAAAAAATTTACTTTGAAGCTTTTAAAACTTACTTATCTTCTAAGTACTATGATTTTTAATTTCTTGTGCTAATACTTATTTTCTTTTATCTAGAATCTTCTAAATAAGTCGTCACAAAATAATTATAATTTAGCACTTTAAATGTATTCTTTTGTATGAAAACAACTAGCAAGTTGAATTAATGATTCATAGACTTGAAACAAGATGCAATAGTAGTTAAATAAGAAATAACAAGATAGATTCAAATAGAAGCAAATTAGAGGCTATCAAATGAATTGACAAAAAAATATTACTTACATTGTTTATATTGGAAGAATTACTAATACAAAATGTAGAGTTAGAATGGATAAGAGTGGAAATGGGAGGAGAATTAAAAAAGCCATAGTTATAGAAGGTTCATTTTAAGTATGGATGTTGATGGATAAAGATGAAAGTCATGAATAATAATCTTGTTTAATTTATAAGCCAACATAGATGTCTAAATTATTGACTATAATTTTAAAGATGTCATTTATAATCATTAGAATGTAATTAATATATTGTGAATAAGTCACCAATTTGACTCACAAATTATTTAAGAATAAAAAAAGGCATTTAGAGTGCCAATTGTCCAATTGTTATGAGAAGATTAGTCTAAAGGAATTAGAAGAAGGCAAAAGATTATAAGTAGAAGAAATACCATTTAAAACAGAGAATCTATTAAAAATCCTCAATACAAAAGGCATCTTAAAAGCATCAAAGGAACATCATTTTTAACATCTTAGAAGCATTTAAAAAGAATCTAAAATCTTTAAATTTCTATTATTATATATCTTAGATATTATTATTTATGATTTTGATATATAGTCAATATATTATTAGATTTTATATAAGATATGGAAATAAATATGTACATATTATAGTACTAATATAATATTAATATAAATAAGAATATGGCACAAATATAATAGCTATATAATAAATATATAAAAATAATATAATATTCAATATGATTAAAATATAATATTGAATACAAAGACAAATATGCTTGAGTACCAATTAGGTGTTTATTGGTCATTCTCAAGCAAGGATTTTGATCTGGATATTAAAAGTTCTATAATTTTTGGAACAATTAGCATTAAAAATCTACAATAAGATCATTTTTATATTTTATTTTTTATTCTTTTTTCCTTATATATGGTATAGAGCTTTGTTAATTGTCAATATATACCATGGTGCTGTTAGGGACATATTCCTTAGAACTTTCTAGAGAGAAGTTTCTAGAACCTTCTAGAAAACAAGCCTCTGGAACCTTCTAGAAGAGAAGCCTCTGGAACCTTCTAGAAGAGAAGCCTCTGGAACCTTTT